GGGGCCCCCCCCCCCCCCCCCCCCCCCCCACAAATAATTTGTATAACCTGAGGGGTTATAAAATGGTTGTTAAGAGTTTTATATGTCAAAGAGACTTGACCCCTCCTTTGATAACTTATTTGTCTGTATAAGAGAAGATTTATGGAGCAATCATCCATCAGATAATAACATACTATTTTATTTTTTCCTAATTAAATCAATAAAAACTGTTCTTTTCCCGCTCACTCCATAAAAAAAAAATATCTCTTTGGTAAATGGAAAGATAATAAAAAAAAATAATACATTCTAATTTTTGAGTTTTCATTTTTCTCTCACTAAAATTCCTAATTGGTTAGCCTTTTACAAAAAAATTAGAAGAGCCTTTAGCTCCATAACTCCAAAGCACATTCTTGAGTCTTTCACTCAAGGAACTTAATGGGCCAGGTCCAAAGGCCCAACTTGTGTTATAAGTCTGGTCCAAGTTTATAGTTCGATTCCAAAAGATCTAACAAATTCAACCCAATGTGATCAGTCCAGTTAAGCTCATCAAACTTCAGGAGCTACTACATCAGTAAGGAGCAGACAAGGTCATCCAAGGACCTCCTCCTCTACCACTTTGGATGAAGGGTCATCCAAGGGTCTCCTCTACCACCTTGGAATAAGAGTCATTCAAGGGTCTCCTCTACCACATTGGGGTAAGGGTCATCCAAAAGCCTTTTCTATGCCACCAAGAGAGCATCCAAGAGCCTCACCCTCACCACCAAGGGAGCATCCAAGAGCCTCACCCTCGCAGCCTAGAAAGAGTCAACCTCCCTCATCCTTGAACAAGTCATTTGGAGAGCACACCAACCGTCACACCTCGCCCGTTGAAAAGATGATAGGTTGTCTCCGCCAGATCAGCTTCCTAATTACTATCAAACGGTCTTAAGCCATTATATCGTCAGACTATTCATACACTATGTCAAGCCACTATAAATTGTAAGTTTCCCCAACACTTGGAGGACATCAGACTTATTTGAGCATAATTATCTCCTCCCCTCTCAAAGCTTGTAATCATGTGCTCTCCCTCCACACCGGAGATAATAAAATTCCGGCGAATCTAGCCATTCAAAGTGGACGTAGGTCATATTGACCGAACCACTATAAATCCCGTCTTCTCTCTCCTTCTACTTACTGTATTTTATACTACAACTTGACTAGTGGTGTGCAAACTAATTTGTGCATCATCAGAACTATCATTGATCAGATCAAAATAATTACAGTCGCTGGTTTTTTTCTTCTTTGATTAGCCGGTTAGTATTATTAGTTTTTTTTTTTTTTGGTTAACTGGTTTTTATTTTTATGTGGTAACTATCTACTTCTTTTGTTTATCTTATTTTGGCTAAATTGCTTTGTTTATATTGAAACTTTTACTTTTTTATTAGAAATTTAAATTTTTGTTTGTGAGTTTTTATGCATAATATTTGGCCCCTAAAGATAAAATTTTGGCTCCGTACCTGCACTCAAAGCCAGAGTTTCCAACTTGACTCAGTCTGAGACTTAAAAAAATTTACTTACCACATAAAAAGGAGGCATGCCAACGATAATTGCCTGCTAGGGGATGCTTTTTGAAGCTCTTCTTGAGTACAGACATTGCAGTTGCACCCACCAATCAAGCTTGCAAGAACGTGTGATAGACCCAAAAGAGTGGCTGCAGCTAACCCCAGCAGGAAGGCTTTGTGGCTTGGCTCTTTACATTCAAATATCCATAGCCTTAAATGCTTTTCCTATTGAGAAATATTACAAAAGTTTTTTTAGATACTATTTTTTTTTTTTTGAACTATAGATACTATTGAAAAACATGTTAGTTTGCCACTTGAAAACTGACTGACATACCTGGTTTTGAGCTACTTCGGCTTTGATTCCAAGAATCCCAGCTGTTATGTCCACAGCTACTATTAGAAGACATGCAAAAATACCAAGTATTTTAGCCATTTTTCAGGAATACGAAGATATTCAAGAAGCTAGAGAGATCATGAAGAAATGTGTGTGTAAGAGAGAGAGAGAAAGAGAGAGAGAGGCAGAAATAGTTGAAGATTTTAGAGAGCACTGAGCTGGGGATGTAGTATGAATAACATAATAAGATTAGAGGTGGATGATAACAGGAAAAAGCTTCTTTTTCCCAAAATAATGCTTTTAACTTCTTTTGCTTTTGTGGGTTCTTTTATTTTCTTCCTTTCCTTCTTTTTGGGATTCCTTTGATGCGGTAGCAAGGAAAGTAATGTGTAAAAATAATTAAATAGGGTAAATTACACACACACCCCCTGACATTTGATTTTATTATACAAAAACCCCCTTACATTTCAAAAATAACACTGAGACCCCTTGACATTTGATTTTAGTATACAAAAACCCCTTGATTTTATTATACTCACACCCCTTTTGTATGACAGACGTTTACTATTTTATTAAAAAGACTTTTTTACCCTTATAACATTGAGATTAACAATCTCTTAATCAAATTTGTCTTAAAAAAATTAATTAAATCAAACCAATCTACAAATTAAGGTAGTTTATCTCCAAAATTCTTTCAATTATAATTAATTTCATTCATTAATTTAAATTTGGCCCCCAAATTCTATTCTAATTTATACACCATTAACACCATCACCATGTACCACCAATTGCTGCCTCCACCACTGGTGAAATCCACCACACAAACCCACCCAATTTGCCCCCAAATCTACAACTCAAACCCACCAAACCATCAATTTCCACCGCCACAACCCACCTTCCAGTGAAATTCACCAAGCACAGTGAGTCCACCACCCAAAAACAAAGCCTTCTGCAGCACCCAGAAACAAACCCCTCCCCTCTCTCCCCACTACTTGAGATTTTGTGTTTCTATGTGTGTGGCTAATGGACAGTATAGCACCCCCTTCGACTGTGAATAACTTAGATTTGAAAATCAAATAAACTTAGATCTCAAAATTCTGAAAACTCTCTCTACTCCATTTTGACCATGAAGAACTCAGATCTGGAATATTGAAAGAACTATTTCTCTCTCTCTCTGGAATATTGAAAGAACTCTCTCTCTCTCCCTCTCTCTATGCGATGCATATGGCTAAAAGTGATGGGTGACTAAGGCAAGTTTTCAATTTTTGAGGTGTTTCAATGTGCCTTGAGGAGGTGGGTTCGAGTTTTGAATTTTTTGAATTTTGGCAGTGATGACTTTGTTGTGGTGTTGGTGGTGTGTGACTGCAGGCAACAGACAATAGTGAGAAGTGGTTTTTTGTGATTGTGGGTGGCGGACATTGGTGGGAAGTGTGGTTGTGGCTGGTGGACACTAGTGGGAAGTGGTGTTGGGGTGACGTTTTGGATGAGGTTGGCCACTAGAGGGTGCTGCAGTGGTGGAGAACTACTAAAAATTTTCGTCAATTTCAGGCAGGGGTTTCCCTCTCTCTGTCTATGTGTATGTGTATATATATATATACACTCACACACAGAGATGGGATGAGGGAGAGAGAAAGAAGACTGATTTTTGGGTTAGTTCTTTACCGAGAGAGAGAGAATGCATTGGGATTACTGGTGGAGAGGAGGTGAAGATTAGGATTAAGGATAGGGCTTGGGGTTTGGGTTTGATTTTGAGTTTGTGTTAAACATAATAGTAAAATAGTTTTTTTATTAAGATAGTTAACTCGGTCTAACTATTGGGGTCTTAGTGTAATTGTTAAAACGTGAGGGTGTATCCATGTAATAAAGTCAAATGTCAGAGAGTGTGAGTGTAATTTATTCTAATAAATATTAGGTACAATGGTGATATGACATCATTGAAAAAATTTAGAATATGAGAGGGATTAAAAATTAAAAAAATAATATAAAAACAAGATACAAAAAGTAACGTGGTTCGACAATCCTAACATCATATAGGCTATATTTGATGTATTATTGAAAGTACTTAATTATATAGTTTTAACCCTGTTTATAGGGTGAGGATTAAATATGATAAAAATGAGAATCACGCAAATCTATCATCGTCTATATTTATCTAAATAACCTGGATATTAATAGTCTTTTGAATCTTATCGTATATGTATTTGAATATTGACAAATTTCTTTTGTTCCTATCATATCTATAATAGTTATCATTGAAACGTGATATCACAAACTAATAATAAATAATAAGGGCTCGTTTAATTGTCGTATTGTAAAATATGGATTGTATTAGGTAATACAGGCTAATTCCGTATAGGTGAATAAAATATAAGATTAAATATGAAACAAAAATTTTACATATTGAAATCCAATGTTTGGTAAGACACTGGATTAAGCATAAGATAATTGAGTAACAATTACATATTGACTAAAAAATCATCAACCTTGTATAATTATTAATATTTTTTGTTTATTTATTGAGTAAAATAATAAATTTATAACTTAAAACGCTTAAATTTGATTATACTATCACCTCTCCAGGTGGTATTATAATCGACTTAATAATACGTGTACAATATATTATTTGGATAAAATTTTGAAATAATACTATATATAGTACTGAAAAGTATTTTTTGCAACCAAATACTATATAAAATTGGATTAAAGAGCATTAATCTGTTATGAGTCTATAATCCACCATTTAACGCTGCAACCAAACGTCCCCTAAAAAGATTAGACGGAGTGGTTATTAATAGTTATTAAAATAATACAACCTTCTAAGTCTATATAATATTTTATGATTAATTCGTGACTTCACGCAACATCTATGTATTATATCACCGTCACAATAAGTATTTTCTTGTGTAAAACAGCCGAGGAGGAAGATTGTCCTAGGCATCTAAATCCTCCGATCTCATACTGGGCTATAGGATTTCAAGCTATTATGATGGGTTTAGATTTTTTTTTTGGACGTAACTAAGATTTCAAGTGGATCTTTTGAGTTAGGGCATGGAAAATGACTACAACCCACGGGCTTGCCAATTCATTGGGTCATAGGTAAGCCTGACCCACTACATAGAGGCCCGTGGAATGAGTAAATATTGGTTGTAACAGTTATAACATATTAATATTGTCACGTAGCGTAACTGTCCAATAATAAATATATAAGTGAGTAAATGGACAAATGAATTCCAATCTTTGAATACGTGACAGTCACTATCTTACATGAATGAGGGGTAATTTGAAAGAGTCTAGTCCATTTTATTTAATTATTGTGTTATTATTAGACGATTATATCACGTGTAATATTAACGTGATATAACTGTTACCTCTAACATTTACTCAAGTGAAACACCGCATAGTTTGTTGGTATACCTGTGGTCCATACTATTGCCCTATCAAGCTTTTTTATTCGAATATTATTTAAAATTTAAGTAAAAATTTAAGCCAAGACGATAGATGACGTTAGAAGATTAGAAACCAGTTCTTTTACTAAATAAAAACCATGGTGCTTGGATGGTCCAACCACTTCATTAGCTTTTACCAAAGCAGGCCTTTTGGGAAGTGATTGTGCATTTCCTTTTGTGTGCCAACAGATAACTGTTACTGTAAAATTGAAAATGTTTTTAAATTATTACTAAGCCTCTAAATTATGAATTAATCCAATTATGGCCCCACCAATTTTAAGTTATATCTTTGCTATCCTTTTGAATTGTGACCCCAAATGTCCAAACCTTTGATGATCCGGCCCCTGAGGATGCGTATCTTACTTGTCCTTTGAGGTGTCTAATTCTTCCCCAACAATACAAAACTTCTTGGAATTAAATAACAATTTATAAAAATTTTGAAATAAAATTACTAAAATATAACACTTTTAAATTTATTTATTATATTACAACACTTTAAAAAAAAAAATTGTTGACTCTGTTTTTGTTGTAGAGTCGACGACCCTACTTTTTAAAAAATATTATAGTTCGATAAATACATTTAAAAATACCTAAAAATTAGCTTGTATAATTGACATAGTAATGATTAACATGCAAAATGGCAATCACGTGCTTATCCACAATAGTAATGATTAACAAGGGTACGTGTATACTGATACTACTCTGATACTCCTATCTTCACTAATGTGAAGTAAGTTTCCACTTTCCATACTCTGCTTTGAACAACACTTTCTCTGCAACTCGAACGCACACTCATGCGATCAAATCAAAAACACACAATAGAGAAGACAAACCACTGCAAATTTGTTTGTATTGTATATAGCATTAATATCTGTAGCCCATAAAGGTCTAAAGCCTAATCCACACTTTCCTCATATAATGCATGGTTAAGAACTGAATCTATAGAGCCTATAGTTGGGTCCCACGTGCCAGTGTTAAAAAAAACAGCAGAAACGAAATTTGAAAACAAAAACGAAACTAAGGAGCAAAAATCCATGGCAGAACCTGAAGGATGAGATGATCAGACTGACGAAAGAGCTTTCAAGGGAGCAACGAAGGATCGTAGAACATCTGTTGATAGAGAGCCTTCCTCTGGGCAATTTTCTTCAGCAATACCAACTGTTCGATGGAGTAAACACAACATCCCTGCGAGTACATCGCCGTCTGAGCCACCGGCGAGTTCACCAGAACCTCCAAAAGTTGTTGCCGATTCAGTTTTGCCAGTATTCCACCGAACGCACTCACATTGATTGGGTTTCTCGTCTCGAAACTTAACGAATCACAAGGCATGGACTGTAGAACCCTGATTTGAGCCTGTAAAAAATGGACGTACTTGTACGCCTCTTCCAGCATTGTTGCCATGTCCATTTTCTTATCCCACGGCAGCACCTTTTGCAGACACCGAGTCTTTTCACTGATTCTTTGCCTTCGCTGCCGTGCCAAAGCGCTTGACGGAGGCCGTCGAGTCGGCTCGGCCACTGGTTTGTACGGACCAAAGTTATTTGACATCTGGAAGTTCCTGATGATTGAGTTGAGAGTGTCCAGATCGATTTGTGGTAGTGATAACGATGTGGCTCGTTTGTTAGATGACTCAGCGATTGCAAAATCGTCTTGAAGTTCCTCGAGAGAGCCAGGGTGATACGGTAGTTGACGAAAACTCGAATCTGAGTGGGAAATGAAGTCGAACGGTTCAGTTTTCAATATGAAGTTGAACGGTGGTTCAGTTGACGACTCTTCAGCAGCGAAGTCTCCGTTATTGAGCTGTGAATCTTGAATAAATCCGACGGACTTGAGCTTCTGATCATCAGCGTTCATCGTTGGAAAAGCCTCGCTTGAAAAGCCGAATGTCACCGGATCTGAGATCGTCGAAGTAGTAGCTCCGTAAGGATACTCCAGCGAAGTATACAGAGCATTGTCGAGCGAAGGAAACAGAATCTTCTCGGGATTCACGCTCAACAAAGTCTGAAAACTCATACCTGAGTACATGCCGTCAATACTAGTGTTATCGACGTTGAACGCCGGCGAGAACTCATTCCCAAATTCTCTCTCCATTTTTCTCAATGCAAAACACAGCTCATAGAGAGAGGAGAGAGAGATATATGTGTGTATGCGTAGAGATAGAGAGTGGGGAGGCGGCGAACATATAAATTTGAGGGAGAGACACGTGGCGGACAAACAGGGGCTGTGATCATACCGTACATAACGAGACAGAATCGTTTTGGCGGCTAAAGGAATCAGTATGGGGTGTGAATTGTAACCGACAGGTACCGGTGCTTTTTCTGTTTTCTGAGGACGGGGGGATGTATTGTCTGTATTGTCACCGTCGTCGTTTCAGGTGACCGGAAAAGCAAACCGGAAGTTTTGTAGCCGTTGGATAGGGACTGGAATTTGATCGGACGGCATAGGGGGAGGCGTGTGATTAGCTCGTGTTGTCGGGAATGGGGTGTGTGGTGTGGGTACAGAGAAAGAATGGGCAAGAAAAAAGAAAAAGGTGAATTCACGAATATGCCCTGGGGTGGGCCTGAGTGTGAAGGAAAGCTTTTTGAGAGTTGAGGGTATGATGGTTATTTTATGGAAACGGTAGGGTGACCATCGATGACAAAGAGTACACGTGTTAGCGATAGTACTGTTTTTGTTGAGCTGTGGACCTGTGGCTTGGCAGAGAATGTAAACCTGCGTTCATCACCGTGTAATTTTTTCAAGGCTTTCCGTTAGGGCTCGTTTGTTAGAAATATTACGAGAGGATTAAATATTAAATTATATTATTTTTTTATTTAATTAAATTTAATATTTTATTTGATATTTAAAATTTAATTTTGTATTAATTTTAAAAATATATACTAATTGTATATTTTTTGTACGATAAACCTGTATTATGAAAATTTTTTAATATCACCAAGAGAAGTGATATTATAATTCAGTTCAAACGTATTATTCTTTATATTTATTATTATAGCTCTTCAATAGATAAAATTAAGTTGTCATCAATGTAATAAACATTAATTGATGATATTTTTGTTAATTCAACATTAATACGATGAAATAATTTCTTAATTACTATCCAACGTTTATGTTGTGTATTGTCAAATACTAGATAAAATTATGTATTATTTTAATATTTTATTTATTTATTTATTTATTATTTTATATTATATTAGACTGAATTATTTTATCTAATTCATACGTTTCTAATAAAGCAGCCAAACAAGCCCTTATCATACCTAAAACTGGTGTAGTACAATTGGTCATATCTGACATTGCATCCTGAGGGCGGACAAAAAGAGTAAGGTCCAAATGACAAAAATATGGAACTAGGCATACAACTTGTAGGTACAAATCGTAAAATTAAATATGATTCATTTATTAAACAAATATTACAATACAATCGTTATTAACCATTAATTCTACAATAATTTTTTTTTAAATAAAAGCTCTAATTTTGCAATAAATTTTGTCATGTAATAAACTAGTAATTAGGTTATAAACGTATAATTGAATAATATATCTCTTCATTAAACAAATAATCGAGTGATAAATTAGTTAAAACACTTTACTCAAACACAACTCGTTTATTACTCAGATTAGTCATATCCATCTGTATATAACCCAAATCTATTAAGATCAACCTCTAACTTCCTAATTTCATATCAATTTTTTGTCAAATAATCCAGTTGGGTTTAATTTTATCAGGCCCCACCTGGCGCTACTGTTTATCCAGTTAAAAGGCCAATACTTCAGTTTTTTTTTTAAAGAATTATTATAAATACTTTTGCAAAAATAACTACATGAACAAGAAAGGGAATGCCAGACTCAGGAGAATCAGTCCCAACTGGGCCTGGAGAAGCCCTTAGTTCTCCTCTAACATCTACTTAAAGCATGGGAGAGATCGATCACATGAATGAATATACATGCCTATAGACCATTCAGCTTCTCAGGCTTCTACGCTACCATTACAATCCAGAGCTCTGATACAAATCCACGTTAAACGCTGCTATTATTGCCTGAACGCTCCCACAAAAATGTAGAAACTAACAAGAAAAATAAGGAAAAAAAAAAAGGGCGAAGTTACACAGAATGAACCGATATGTAGAAACTGAGGCAATGAAAAAGCTCAAGCTTACCTCTACCATTTTGAATTTTAAATTAGAAGGAAAAAAAAAACACTAATCTACTATCCTATGATGAATTACAAATTACACAACCAAAAATAAACTGTACACAAGAATGAAGAGTGGAGAGCAGCACAAAGGAATGATGCTTTGAAATGACCGCCAACTCCCACTTCAAATGGAGCAGCTGTTCCTAAAATTGAGAAACCATTTCAAAACAATATCAAAGGTAAGACAAATACTCCACTGCTGCTTCCTCCACCGTCTGCAAAATTCACCGATCCCACCCAGCCTGGAAAATAGCAGGTCTGTGCTTCAACCAGTGCACCATCTCCTTGTCCAACGGAGCATTCTCTAAAACAGCATCTAGCATTGGACTGCCTAAGACTTTTGGAGGACTATTGAATGACCAAATCCGGTCCTTAGGCCAAGGTCTCTGCGACTGCTTCTCCTAGTGAAACAAGACAGTTGAGACGACTAAAGTTAAGCAAACATATCAATAACAAGGTTGAACCAGTAAAAGCCAACCAATATATACAAAGAAAGAGAGTAAAAAATAATGGTTGATAAAAATTCAATGACCAAAGGATTTAATGTGTTGGAACCACTGGAGTAGTAACTGACACATTTTAATCTCAAAGGTCCCTCCAAGACCATCCATTTCATCTTCTGGGAAACTGAACGCCAAACAAACCCACCCCAAAAAAAAACACACACACACACACCAAAACCAAAAAAATAAAATAAATATCATACACCATTACACTAGGACAGCTTTGCTATGGTACAAAACCAAAAAAAAAATTCCTGAATATTTCTCATTGAGACGTACAGCAATGCCTATATATTCAAACAAAAATATGTGGGATGTGTGCATCTCTGCACTCATCCATCCATGTTTTTTTTTTTTTTGACATATATATAAAAAATAGTCCCACTGTCCAAAACAAAATCAAATAATAGAGAATTCTGATCTTCAAGATATTTGCAATATCATCAAGTTGACCAATTGGTATTGGGTCAATCACAGACCCTTTGACCCAAGTCATTAAAAAGAATGATGTCCATGCAAAGCAATTTCAAATTTGCAAATCAACCAGAACCACCAAAAAGAGCTCCAGTACCATGTTTGTTCTCCGCAATGTCATCTATATTAAATGACTTGGAAACTCAAAACAAACATTTTACTATACCCTCATAGGGTCAGAAGACAAAGAATGTAGGAGTTTCTCACTCTGCAGGTGGAACACAGAGCTCCACACAGGAGGATGAAGGAGGGAGAGACGGAGTGGAAAAAAGGGGGAAGGGGGGGGATCGCTAAGTCACAGGCTACTCCTCTTAAAAGAGGTCAGCAGTTTGATAGCTCAAAAGATGAATTCAAATTATCCAGTAATGGGTCAATAACGTAAAGAAAGATCAATGAAACAGAGAAATTAACAAAACAATACTCACCATCCTTGCAAGCATAAACTTCACAGTTCTTGGGCCATAAACACGCTGTCGTGACGGCTTCTGGACTTTGGCATAGAAGGAATCAATGTCGGGTAAAGACAAGCAACCCCTGCTCGCCCTAACTAGGCAATTATCTGGCTGAGAATTAGTTTGGCTATGCCAATAAATGAGCTGCCCTAAACAATAATTTTCACCGTATGTCTTGGAATACTCGTGAACTCCTGATCCCAACTTATCAGCAAACTTTGGACCCAGGTCAAGTGGACTGATGTAAACAGGTTCGGAAGTTACAGTCCTGTATTGCTGCATGAAACAAGATTTAAGTCAAAGAAGGAATAACAGAACCAGAAGGGCAACAGTTTTCCTGCATTGCAGAATCAAGGTAATTACAAGACTCACCCGTACTCTATAGAAACACTTTGTGTAAGCATATATGTGGATCAAGTCAGCAGCAGCATCATGCCGACATTTGTGTGTACATGGAAGATTTCGAACCTCATCCCTCAACCTGAAACAAGAATAAATCTCCATATTAAAAAATGTTTTCCAAGGTTCACAAACTTCAAGTAAACAAAGGAGTTCATGCTGCTAACCATAGTAAAGATTTCCGAAGCTCCCTCCGGATGTCATCAGAACCAGATGGATCACGACCACAAATCTTGGACTTGAGGTCATTCAGCACACCCTCTTCCATATGAGGAACCATGCATTGGATAAGTTCCTCCACAAATGATCCTTCTCCCTTCCAGAGGTAGGAAGCCGCCTCTTCAGGACTAAGCTTTTCAAGCGGAGGGGGAGCTTTCTTGGGGTCACCAAAAACACATCTCATTACATACCTCACCTGCAACAAAATTTTTTAAGATTTTAACTCTGTTCCTACTATCAAAAACTACATAAGCCCCAATGTTAAAGCATATGGGATGATAAACACATTCATGATTTTAAGGAACAATAGGTCCCACTAGTAGCCCAATAAGTAAGAAGCATTGATTTGAAAAATCTTAAGTTTAGATTTCAATGCAGATCAAGAAAATGTCACAAGTCTTCTTAGTTCATATGATTTAACCATGCAATTTGCTTACAAAACATCTAAATTCCAGGCCCCATCTATGACAGGTCATTTGTCATCATATGTCCAAGCAATTTGCTTAAACAGCCACATTTTATGATCTAATAGAGAATAAGATAGAA